AGGTATACACATACACCGTACACACACACACACACTCCTATGGGTTACTAGTAACTTCTAGTTTCTTATAGGGCACTATCAGCCATGGTATCTTCTCATGAAACCTCCGCTGATAATATGCTCAGCTTGCGTATGCTAATCATACATAATATCGGATCTGATCGACAGTGGAATAATTAATTCTACCCAAAGCCCACAACCAAAAAAGGAACATGAAATAAGTCTAAATCAAGAATTCTAAGGCTACAAAATCCTAATTATATACAATTATCACGCATATACTATGTCCTACCAGCAATAATGGCTGTTTCATATATCACAATAAAGCAATCCCCTAGGCTACCACGTATCTTAAAATCAGGAAATTCTATCATGCAATTCCTAAAGATTCCTTAGCTTATGTTCTAGCATGCATTTCTATCATTTAACATATCAATAGATATATAAAAGTTGTGGGTATTCTGGGAAATAAATTTCTCTTGAGCTTAGACTGACTATACACAACACATCCCCCTTTTTGAGTTATTTTAAAAATAGTTATGAAAAATCTTTTTGCAGAACCATAGTTGAGTCTGTGATCATATGAGTGTTCAACCTGATCCCTCAAATTAGGGCTCTAATACCAACTTTTAATGGCCCAAAAACCATAGAAAACATTTCCATTTTCAAAAGACATTTTCATAAAAATCATAAGTTATCTAACTCATTGAGTAAAAAAATAATCATAAAATCAGAGTATCAAATAACATCTCTCACAATAAATCCACAGATGATGTGTACAATCATTCCTTTGCCTTCCCCCGATTCTCAAAAGTACCTAAAACATTTAAATCCATAACATTAAGAAAAAGCTTAGAGAGTTCCCCAAAATACCCCTGATGATCACATATATACCTACCCGTTTTAAATTTATAACCTAACGAAACTTAACTACTAATGCACTTATAAGCAGTATACCTGGTCAGTTTATAGTATAGTAAAGTAAGTCGGGTGTCGATCACAAAGAACGATATTTAACTAATAAAATAACTACTAAAAATTAATCTAAGGAAAACAATTAAGAGTGGAGTTTTTTATCTGATTTTGTAAGTTTAGATTAACTTAATTACTCAACTAAACAAAGCAAACAAATAACTAAAGATGATTGTAATCAATAAAATAAAGACACTTCCGTTTAGCTTTGAATCACCCTTTTTCCTATGGTTAGTTTCAAGAAATTTATTAATTTCAATTGGTTACCAATATAAAAGTTATTACAAGTCTTTTTCCGATCACCTAAAGTTTTCACCAATTCATGTACTACTACGCAACGATCATACAAAAGTGGACACTAACTTGGTTATTAAGATTATTGGGCTATGTAGCATTTATCTAAGATTAATTATCAATGATCTAGAAATAACCTAAACAAAATTATGATCCAGTTATATCCTCTAGCATAGTTATAGTTAATATCTTTATAACCTATTCTAGGATTTGGTCAATCACCAGCTCTAGCAATTTAGGATTCATAAACAACTAGGTAAACAAGTTCATGCAAGTAAAATGATCATTCATCGATAAAAAACCCGAACATATAGGAAACAAAGATTGAAACCATTAACATACTAGGCTTTGCTATATCATACACAAGCTAAACTGACTTCAAAAATCCATAAAAAGTAGAACCTAACACATAGTACTAGGGTTCATCATTGCTAAACGAAAGTCTAATGATTTAGCTCATAATTGTAGAAAAGAAACACATAATCACATGGAAAACTATGGTAGACACTACTAGAATCTAAGCAAACCAAAATAATGATGTGAAATCTTGCTCCAATCCTTTAATTTGTTGATCTCAAATCTTCTTAAGCTTTCTAAGGCTCTTAGAAGGGTATTTTCATTTCTTCAATCACAACCCTCTACTTTTAAATATGTATTTCGACCTAATGTTTGGGATATTTACAGCTTCTTAAATTCTGATTTCCATGACATGGGAAATAGGTGCCGCGTCGTGGGAGTAATGGTAATCTCGTACGCACTAAGTAATTTGTGATTTTCCGTAGAATATTCTTGAATTGACACGTGTTCACGTCGTTACCATGTAATGGTCACGTCAGTCCTCAATGTATTAATGCAAAAATCAATAATTTTTGCATGGGAACTTCTTAATGCCACGTCGTGAGCTTAATAACTCTATGCCATGGGAACTTCATTTGCATAATTTTTATCTTCCTTAAGCTCCTAGTTTCATCCTCAGTCCTCAATGTATCCAACTTTTGTCGATTTCAATACTTTTTCTTCAAGTGTGTCATTTTTTGCTACAAAATAGAATTTAACTTAATAAGTACCAAATATCTTTGCATTTTACCAAATTATAGCTTAAATTGTATTAAAATAATTCATAAATATATGTATAAATATGAAAAATATCACAATACCCCACACTTGGCTATTGCTTGTTTGACAACCGTCAAAATTCGAGACATTTCTAGATTTGAATAAACTTAGTTGCACGTGTAGGCAGGACACATTCTAGACTTAGTAAATAGAAGCTATGTTATAACCTTCTAGAAACATGGAAACGATTAGAAACGAGGGATACTGTACTGAGATTTCACATTGATATTGACTTCTATAGCTATTTTAACTATACCAACTGTCAAATTCGGATCATTCTTTGACTTGAACATCTTTGGATGACTCATGTAGACACATCATGTACTTGACCTAGAAGCAAAAATTATGTCAGAGCCTCATTGGAAATTAAGTAAAAGTTGAAAACTATGACTTGTATACTTGATTCTTCAATTTCACTTGAATTTTGGAATCACTACATAAAAATGCCAATAAACCAACAAAAACAAGTGGTGAACATTATTTATAAGTGTAAAAGAGTTATAAGACTCTAAAATAATTTCAAGTCTAAAAAATTCAAATTATTTTGATGTCCAATGATTCATTAAATTCCAAAACCATAAAAAGCCTAAAAACTCAAATTTATAATCTTTAACACCTAAAACTCCATAAAATTTGTTATTAACCTTATAATATCAATTTAAAATAATTAAATTCAGGAAAATATAATCAATGGAAAATGAAGTTGAAGTCATCAACCTTTACCGTTAATTTATATGTATTTCATAAAAATTGAAGAGAGGGAAACCCTCTCTCCCTCCCTCAAATTTGGCCACTCTTCCCCTTCCCAATAATCCCAATCTTTTTCACTTCCCTTACACTGCACCTCCTACTCCTTCTTCCATTCTCTCTCATTCTCTTTCACACTCTACATTCACTATTCCCTTTTCTCTTAAACTCTCTCTTATTTTCGAGATTTACAGCCAAGAACACATCCATACACTCAAAAACCTTCTTCATAAAATGTGGTCTAAGAGGTAAACCCGAAATCCCTTACATCTCCCTCATTTTTCCTTCTAAAAATCTTAAGTTTTCTTACATCGTTTCTTCTTCTAGCCATTTCTTCATGATTTTTCATATACATGCATTCATACTCATGATTTTGATGATGGAGGTGATAGAATTGGTGTGTGCTTGAATCGAGATATGAAAACGTAATCAATCACAGAAAATAGAAAGAACACATCGAGTAAATAAGATCTGTTTGGCTCATATTTCGTCTGTAAGAAGTGCAAGTGTATGAGATTGTTTACAATAGCGAATAGCTTAAGATTTCTCCAAAAGATACTCTTGACTCAATACTAACCCTATTTATAGGGTGTTACAAACGCTGCAAAAAGTACAAGGACTAAACTTTAGAGTTCGAATTCGACATGTGCCTTGCAAATACATACATTTCAAAATCAATATGATTTCGCACCCTAACAGACTAAGACCTATTTTAAGTTCTCACTATATACATTTCGAACCCTACAATTTCCCTCTTAGTGAGAAAAGACGAAATCATACCATAAGCTTCAAAGTCTGTTAAAGTACATTTTGAATCTCTGTATACCACTATATACACTTTGAAACCTATAATCAATATGATTTCGCAATTGTTGATGCGAACACGGAGACTGGTATATTGAGCATTCGTATGCCTCTCCAAATCACTAACTTGAAACAAGAACTTTGTCAGCCTTCCATTCTTGTTCATCCCTCGAAACACCACACCAAGTGGTTGATGTATTATTTCTACATCTTCAAACTTCTCAATATTATCCTTTCCCTTTAGTAAAGATTGAGGTACCTTCGAAGCCTTGTTAACAACCATAGCCATGTCATTCAAATTCATGAGAGGGAAGTCATCAATTGAGAATTCACAAACCACATTGTTTTCCCTCAAGACCACATATTGAAAGTTTTGTAAAAGACCTTCAAATAAGTTTTCTCGAGTGATAGACATCACCTTCACAATCTTTACTGATGACGACACTTCTTCTTCTCTTTTCCCTAAGACAACATGAAATCGCATCTTGAGCCTTTTGAACTCATCTTTATCTTTGAAATTCTATTCAATTTTGAACTGAGAAGAAGTGAAAAACGTATGGTTCAAAAGGAAGCCACACTAATTGAAATTTGAGTTCTCAATATCTTAACGCTTTTTAAGCGCTTTGAGAAAATAATCATTCATACCATCGAAACGATTTCTTCTATAGTTTCATAACACCGCTACTTGTTGGGATCACCCTTATTCATGCCAGGTGGGCCATTATGTCTTTACCTCATAATGTTGTTTAGGTGCTTTTGCTTCTTAATCTCCAAGGCCTATTGCTTTTTCTTTTCCTCTTCAGAAAGAGTCACCATAATAACTTTTCCTTTATCCTCTTGATCATCTTTCAAAGGTGATAGCAAAAAATTCAAACTTGACCCTCCAGATCCTTCATTTGTAAAGATCCCTTTTGTGATTGGTCTTGTTGGGGTTGTTGTTGAAGTTTTAGAAAACGAAATAGGGAGTGAAGTCGGTATTTGAGACATCACTTTTCCAACAACTCCACTGTTTTCTGAATATTTCAAAGACCCAACACCACCACATTCTTTATCCCCCCTTGCGACACTTACACATCACGATGAACATTTGTTGGTAAGCGAAGGACCAACTCAAGGATGGGTGCCAGCTCAGTTTTGATATTCGTCTCAATCTTCGAAATCAATTGAGAAATGGACTCCTGAGACACATTTGACTGAGGCGAAACATTAACTTTTGAAATCGATTCCTTGATGCTAGACATGAATTCTTCCAGATTGGCAAATGTCTGTGAATCCTTCTCCGATTTGATATCAAGTTTAGTCGAGTAGTCAGTATTAAAATCAACTAACTTGTCTATAACATTTGCAATAGCATCAACCTTGCTATGTAAAACATCATAACTTTTGTCCAATTTTCGAACCTCTTTATCCATCTATGATTTAAGTTCAAGCACCTTCAGATCCACAGACTCTTTCATCTTTGTCACTTTTTCTAGAAAAAGATCATGACGCTACTTCGCCACATCACGATGCTTTTGAAGTTTATACTCATACCTTTTAGAATGAAGATTCAACCGTTCAACCTGTTTCTCTTTAAGGCTTTCAACCAAGTTGCGAAGACAATTCTCCTAAGACTTTAACAAGTACTCCATATCTACCCCGGTAACGAAATTCTTTCCCCCAGTATCTGCTTGAATTTGAAGAAGATTATTGATTTTGGAGTTATGGAGTTTGAACTATTTACCTGACATGATTATATCATCAGGAACGTTATCCTCTTCCAGGTCAAAGTGTTGATCAGCAAAAGAAACCATCAAATCATCATCATTCGGTTCGGCATCAATAATTACTCTCGCTGCTTCAGTAGATTAAGATGAGAAAAGGGTAGTATTGGGTTCATGCATAATTAAGGAGTAAGTTGGTGAAATGGTTGAAACTGGTAGTGAAGTTGGGATAGGTGATGAAAGTGGTGGTAACGAAGTGTATGTTTCAAAGAATGAGGTTTCGATGGTAGAAATGATTGAAATGGGAACGGTTGATGTTGCAAGGGTTGAAGTCATAGAAGCTTCTTTGTTCGAAACCCCAACACCCATATTGGCTTTTGTGTCTGTATTAGATACGTTCAAAATGATATCTAGAGTTCAAACCTCCTCCGTATAGGACTCGGTTTGCGAAACCCCAGGTGGTATGATTGTAGTCTTCTCAGGGATGGATAACAATTTGTCATCACTCGAATTGGTGTTTGTATCTGTATTATATACATTTACATTGGCATCATGATTTACTATCTCCTTGAAAATCGACTTGATAGGAGAATTCCTTCGAGGTAACCTAAGCCCAGAATCATCATAACGATTATCTCCACTTCCACTATCATTATCTGTTTTGATAGTGACTTGATCAAGTGGATCTTGAAGCTTTTTATTATTTTTCTATAATTTCTGGGCCATATCGAATGCCCTTCTTTTCTTCCAAGCAGGAGAAGCAGGAACATGAATGTCTCCAAAAAAACACATCTCTTCTGTTGAATTGAGGTTTGCGAATCTTCTTTATACCCTACTGAGAAGAATGAGTATGTGAAAAATCAACCTCGGTTTTCTCAGTTGTGTCAATTTCACGTTTTTGAACTGATGGCCAGACTGGAGAATCATGAGGCCTCTTGGCTGGCTTCTTAGTTCGCTTGAGAATACTAGTATTTGAAGGAATAACTTCTTAGAAATTTTCTCCACCACAGGTTGTGGTTTCTCAGTCTGCTTCTTCTTCTTTGTTACTTTAACAACTTTCAAAGAACCCTTAGCCCCTTTCGGTAGAAGAACAATAACAGAAAAATTAGCACCAATGGATGCCAAGTATTGAACAACAAGTGCGTTTTTCAGATCAATACGCCTCAGCATTGCATCTGTAATTCGAGCAACATTTGGAAAAATAACTAGATCATCGATAACAAGTCTTGGAGCAGCCAATATCGAAAACTCAGCTATTTTGACATCCGAAGGAACCAAAATTCCTTCTTGTTTATACACCTCCTTGAGAATCAAACTCTAGTATCGAGCACATGGAACACAATTTATCAGATTGGTATGAGTAAATGTTGAACCAAATTCTTCCCATAGTTGTGTGGCATAATCAAAAATTCAAATCATAATAAATGCCAGCAAGCATCACATAAACATCCAATTTTGCTTTGCCTAACCCTGAACTACCACCAGTCAAGCATCATAATACTATACCAAAAAGAAAACTGTATATGCAGTGTCACACCCCACAACCGAGAACGACGGAATACGTTCTGGGGTGGAGGACGTCATGTACAGTATCATAACAATGCATAATAGTAAAGACAAGCAACAACATCCATTGCATTAATATAATAATTGTAATACAAGCGTGTTCTATACAGTTTGTTAGACACCAAAAGTATAATCAAAATAAATAGGAGTCTTGTATATGCTCCATCTTCTCACAAGCTGCATCTGTACCTGTCTACTGATGACCTGAGAATACAAGTTATTTTGAAAGCGAGTATCAGCATAAAGCTGGTGAGTTCATAAGTATTCAGTGTCATTGCTTGTATAAAAATGTTCACAATAATGTAGTATAATGATTGATTTCGATGTTTGAAAAATAGTATAATCCCTAGAAAACCCTATGTTTTCCAGTAAAAGTGGTCTTCTACCAAGACCCGGTTGTTTACATGTTTGATCCTTTGAAAATGTAAAAGTTTTCCCAGTGAAACTATCAGTATGAAAATATAGTTTTAAACTTTGTTCATGTAAAGTACTTGGGAAAATCGTGTTTTACCCCAGCAGTATCACTGCCAGCTAATGTAATAAAAATGCAGACTCCAGGTGATATTAAATGTACAATACACCTCGGGGAGTCTGTTTTGCCTTTAATTCTTAATGTATTAATTAAAGGTCGGAATGTGAACTCGTATGTAACCATGCTGATTGACGATCGAATGTAGCTAGCAGTCGGGATGTGGGAGTGTCTGTCCCGTATAGATTTATACACATAATGCCCGCTCTCCCTCCAGGAGACTCTGGTTACACCGTGATAGCACAATGAAGTGTCGTATCGAGATGTAGTATGTCACATCCTATTTTAGTATATCCTCTCGTATATCGTATAATGTACTTTCTGGTATAATGTATAGAGTGTTCTCTTGTATAGTATATAGTATTCTCATTGTATAGAATTTAGTATTCTCTTTGTGTAGTTTTTAGCATGTATTGACTCATAATTGTGTTGACTCTGGTAGTTGTCATGGCCATAGTGGTAATGAGTAGTAATCCTTAACTATACCTATTATAGTTAAAGAGTAATATTGGTTGCATGCCTTTGATACACAAAGGTACTGAACTGAAATGAAGACTTTTATATCTAACACAAATATAGATGATATATAACTAACAATTCAAACAAAATAACAAAATGATATATAACAATTCAACGACAGTCGGACAAATAACAAAATACCCTAAGCCCACAATCAAACAAGAACAGGAAGTAAGGTGAGCTATTAGTCCTAAGTCCTTCAAGTCTTACTTATATATATATATATATATATATATATATATATATATATATATTGGTGTAGATTTGGTTCGGAAATAAAAGAAGTTTAAAAGAGTTTGGAAATAGTTTTATAACCATTTAATACAAAAATGAGTTTGATAAACATTTGAAGCAGTTTTGTTGGCAAAGCAGTTGAAAATATAGAAAATCCTTTTGGTTGCAAGTTATAAATCACATGTGATTGATACTATAACTTGTTTGATTCAACTTGTATTCCCCCCCCCCCCATAAAAGCATTTAAAAACATTTGAAAGGTTAATTAAGGGGTATGAACTCACCTGTAGTGAGTGGATTTGATGGAAGTGCCGGGTAGGATGCTAGGTGTCAAGTGAGGACTTGAGCGCAAACACGGATCCTATGTAACATGTAGTGATACATAAATGTATCTAATTAGTTATTTAATCACTAATTAAGTAAGTAAAGACACTCTAATGCATGAAAACACTTTGTTTCAAGTGCTAGGAGTGTTAAGGGTTGCCCCTAAGGAGAGTATGGCCTCACATTGGAGTTTACTCCTCAAATGGTAGCCCCTATATGTGTTTACGGTTTCTGGACCATTTCCTCCATGAGTTTATGGCCGTAAACTCATGGGAATGGTGTATTTGGGTGCTTTAAGGTCTCATGCTTCACAAAGAAGTGTCCTAGGGTTGAATCAAAGGCTTAGGAATTGGTTAGGGCTTGAAATGGCATTCCTTTGGAGTTTGCGGTCCTTGGACCACTCCTTGGGAGTCTATAGTCATAAACCATAGAGTTTATGGCCGTAAACTCTTGGCCACTTCATCCTTTTTGTGTTTTGTGGTTCTTAGTTCATGCATGCAAGTTTCTAGCCTCTTGTCCAAGCATTAGAAGGTGTTTAGGGGCATCCAAACACCACCTTATAGAGTTTACGGCTTAGGGACCATATCCTTATGGTTTTACGGCCGTAAACTCTTATGGGAACATGTTTTGATTGTTGTTTAAGGTCCTAAACATTTCTAGGAAGGATCAAGGCTAACACCCAAGGCTTAGGAAGGGACTAAAGTCCATTTATCCCCATTTAGAGGAGTTTACGGCCCAAGAACATCCCTTGGCCGTAAACTCCATTGATCATGTGATTCTTGATGGTTTTCAAGTGTAAACGAGTTCCTATTAAGCACACAAGAAGCTAGGGAAAGTGTACTTACAAGATAGAAGCTTGATTGGGTGTTTAAGGTCCAAGAACACTAGTGTGTGTTCTTGGTGTTCTTGGTGTTTTGAAGAACACTTGAAGATCTAGATGAAAAGCAAGAATGAATGGATGAAATGATGTATAACTACTAGATGTTAGGTTATAACAACAAATCAAGTCGAGAAACACTTACGTTTTCGGAAGATCGGGTGAAGAACGAGATGATAGTTGAGAGAGAATGGGGAGTAAACTTGAGGTTGGAAGTTGGAGAATGAAAGACTGGAGAGTAAAATCATGCTTTATGCATGAGTTTGCGGCCCTAAGGGAGTTTACGGCCCAAACCCCACAAGTTTGTCCGTGAACTCCTTATTAAGGTGTTATGTGTGTGTTTGCTACTCCGAGACCCGAGAGAATACTTCCTTTTCTCCGTTCGTTTCATGAATAATTATTAAAAATAATCAGACGGACTTTACACCGGCTAAAAATGTACTGAAATGTTGTTGACTAAAATTTGACGTGTTTGACCGTAGAAATTATACAAACAAAAATTTCGGGATGTCACATCATACCCCCGTTAGAGGGAATTTCCTCCCGAAATTAGAGTTCAAGCAACTAAGTTATTACACAACAACTAAGTAAAAAGATGTGGATATTTAAGTCTCATTTGATCCTCGCGCTCCCAAGTGAACTCCGGTCCTTGCTTGGCGT